AAAGATTGAAAATGGTGCTTTTGATGAGTGTCGATTTATCTCTTTTAGAAAGAAATTTTTTCTTCTACCCAACGAGTCTTTTATCAAACAGCTCAATCACGGGATCTCAACTTCTCCCACCTTTGTATTTAGCCCCTAGAGGAATACTGAGACATTTAATTGGTAACTGTACAGCTTTGTAGCCCATAACCCAAGCAAGTTCCCAATTCTGTTTTCACTCACACCCCCTAACTCTGACTTGTTCAAATTAACTTTCAAGTCGGAAACGACTTGAAAACATATGAGGACATCTAGATTAAGTAACATATCAGCCTCATATTGACAGAAAATCACTATATCATTGGCAAAGAAAAGATGAGTGACTTCGAGTTTTTTGCTATTACTCCTCTTAGTGATATCCCTCAGTAACTTCTTCTCCCTGGCTTGCTTCAAGAGTTTGTCCAGTGCTTTTATAACAATAATAAACAACAAAGGAGAGAGAGAATCTCCTTGTCTCAAACCTCTGGACTTCTTAAGAAAAGAGGAAGGTCCGCCATTCACCAAAACTGCAAAAACTAGTGGTCGAAATACATGCTTGAATCCATTTTCTCTATTTCTGTCCTAAACTGAGTCTCTCTAATATATAGTCAACAAAAGCCCAATAGACATAGTCAAAAGCTTTTCAATATCTAGTTTATAAAGAATCCTGATCCTCTTGTTGCTAACCATATCATCTACCTTTTCATTTGCAATCATTATTGCGTGAATGGTCTATCTCTCTTTCACAAAGTGTGTTGGCATTCCCTTATGACCATATTCAACACTTTAGATAGGTGTTTAGTAAGAACATTCGATATGAGTTTTTAAATACAACCCACCAGACTGATAAGCGTAAAATCTCTTATTCTCTCGGGCCCCTCATTCTTGGGGGGTCAACGCATTAAAAATAGAATTCAATAATTTTACAAATAAATTGTTATTACGGAATTCTCTAAAAAACTCAATAACATCATCGTTGACCACTGGTTTGAATTCTTGAAGGAATTTCATATTAAAACCATCAGAACTTGATGTTTTATTCCCATTGTAGTCCCAAAAGACCTTCAGCTATCTCTTTTTCAGTGAATTCAATTTCTAATTATGTATTGCTTGTCTTGTCCAGCTGTTTAAATTGTAGATTATCAAGTCTTGGTTTTTGAATGAAATCTTCCTCATATAATTTCTGATAGTAACATTTAACACCTTCTCTCATTGCCTTATTCCCCATGAGACAGTTGTTTTCGATGAAAATCTCTTTAGTTACATCTTCCTATGTGGTTAGCCAAGTAGTGGAAATACTTTGTGTTTTTATTCCCATCTTTGTGCCTTTTTCTCTTGCTTCCTGTTTTCATGATACTGCTTTCATGTGTAGTCTGTTTGCCAAGTTTGATATCAAAGTATTCCATTTTTTCTTATCTTGTAAAGATAGACCTGCCGCCCTATCCTGCTTATCCAACTCTTTTAACTCTTGTATGATCTTAGTGGTCCACCATTTTTCTTCTAGCCCTACCTCTTTGGTCCACTTTTAATATCAAATTTCAGCATTTTAAATTTTTTAACAATTCTGAAGCTAGTTGTTCATCTACAGAAGTATTCTTCCATACATTGATCACTATAATTTTAAAATTGTTAACTTTAATCCATTTGTTGTCCAACTGGAAAGGAATATATTCCATTGAGTCCCGTAAAAAACCAGACTAATTGGAAAGTGATCAGAAATAGGTCTAGATAATGCTTTTTGGCTTAGTCCCAGAAATATGACGAGGAAATCTGAAGAGACCAAAAATCTATCTATCGTGGAGAAATATGGATTATTTGTCTGAGTACTCCAGGTTCATTTTCCCCATTGAGAGGCAAATTCGTAAAGTCAAACTTAATGTTATCCTTGAATTCTTGTGCACATGAAAAAGATATTTTTCACTGAATCCATGTTGAAAAATCTCCCCCAACAACCCCTTTCCTTCCCACTTCCTCTGGCATTTAGTCAACTCCCCTTAAAGCAATGAGTGTTTGTCGATAATGCCTCTAGAATATACACCAGAAAAATACCATTCTCCCCTATCCTTCCTATTAACGAAGAGACAATTGAAATTGGTACACATGTATGGAGTACATATTAGGCCACTATCAAGTTTTTTTTTTATAAATGTCTATTGACCTTAATATATTTGGTTTGGCCATGTTGCATCGGATTGTGTGCAATGCTTATGATTGACTTCTTGTCACAGTATAGGCACATGAAGTTTTTGCACTTGATTTTAAGATCTTTTGAAATTCTTCTTATTCATTATAGTTCATATTTTTCTTATTCTATTATTAGGAATTCTGTTTTTGCGCTTGATGTAACAACTGCATTTTACTTTTTACTTCTCCGAGTAAAGGTTGCCCCTAATGAAGGTATAGTATCCTATGATGGATCTTCTGTCTATGACTGGCTTTTACATAATCCATATTTATCTAGACTTTTAGGAGCATTCTATTACTCTTCTTGAACATAATTTCTTTTACAGGTGACCTTTTTAGGTTATGCAATATTATATAGACTGCTTGTAAGTACACTTCTTCAGACTATGCATGAATTAACTTATAACGTTCACTACATAGGTGATGTCTGCTCTTTTATGGGATAAGATATATTAATCTTCCAAACTAATTTTAGCGTCGGTGGAGAGAGAGAAAGCTAGAGAGAGAAAACTAACAACTTGACAAGTTAGGGTTTCGGAAGGGGCAAGGAAACAATAGAGAGGAAGGGGATTGCTACGAGCGAAACTAAAGGAAAGGAGAGAGGACAGGTCGTCCACTTGGGCCAACCAGGAGTGGTGGAGAAATAATGCCAAAAGCGAAGAAATTTGTGATGATAGAGAAGAAATCTTTAGAGTTTTGCAAATGAAGGAAGGAACATGAAGAGGTTGAGAATCAACAAAGATGGCAGGGGATTTCGGGTCACTATCTCTCTAGAAGAAGAGGAGGTAATGTGGCTGGTGGAAACTCTAGATGTCTTTTACTGGTGAAAGGGAGGCAATTCCTAGGAAAATAATGAAGCAGGACTGATGTACAACTTATGGTTTGCTCTCATTTGGAATAGAAGCGGAAGATATCTGGTCTTAACTGAAGAAAGGGGGAAGACCGTGAAGTGCATTTTCATTCCTGATGGCAAGTCATGAAGGCGGTACATGAGCTGGTGGACTGAGAAATCATTAATTTGGATAGTAGGGAGAAGAAGAAGATGGCTAGCAAAAATGCTGTGAAAGAAAAAGAAGCGACCAACAATCAATGCAACGAGCTAATGCACTGCTCACGCTGGCAGGCGGAATTCAGAATCCCTGTGGTGGTGATTGGGTCATACGCGGTGGCGGTCAAGCATAGGGGAAAGGGGGCAATGTGGGTAAAGCAGAAGGGATCCAGCTTAGAAGCGAGGTGGGTCAATTTCAAAAATCAGAAGGTGACAGCTGGTTGCCAAAACCCAGGTTTCTAAAACGCACAAGAACATGGTCATTTTGGGAACAACTTTATAAAGGGTTTGAGCTTTAACTCACCCAGGAAGCTGAAAGGCGATGGTTTGAAAACCAATAAACAGTACACTTGGGTGGAGGACAAGTGGGTCGAGCAGGCTAGATCAAGTACAATTAAAAAGCGAGTTAGCGGGCCTAAAGTGAAATGGGTTTGGCGGAAGGTAAAATGGATTTCCTCTAGTTCGAATTCGAAGGAGGGTGATGGAGATTAAGGTTTTTGGGGGAAAGTTGGGAGGCGGAAAGTCGAGGAGGCTGGGAAAGGGGAGAGTGCTGAAGGGTTAGAGAGAGTGTTTGAGGAAGAAGGAGTCAAAAACTGTGGAAGTGTGAAGAAAGAAAGTAAGGAGGAGAATCGGGTTGATGACGGGGAATGGGAGGTTTCGGAAGACAAAAACAAGAAGAACCACCATTTTTCAATAGTTCAAAACCAAATCTGTTACAAGTGTGGAGCTTCCATGATTTACAAGAGTCAGAATGTTAGAATGATGGTTTCTGTATTATTATGTGTTCTAAAACACGAAAGTAAAATAAAAAAGAGAAAAAAACTGGGGCTATAAATTTTGAATCATAACAGATTTGCTTGTATGCTTGATATGTGTATGGGGTCATGGCCTATCTCTTCTTCTATTTTCTTTTCTCTTTTTGAAATTTTTGGCATGATACCTTGTTGTTGAAACCTTATAATGCGTTTTTCTCGTCTTAATAAAATTTCTTCTTTAATTAGAAAAAAATGCGCTAGACAGTTGCAAGTTGTAAAAGCACTACAATTAAGTTTGGCTTGAATTTCAATTTCATGGAACATTAATGAGAATACAATTGAAATATGGTAGGAATTTTAACGAGAACAATAATCGAATTCCAATACAATTGTATGTCTAATATAAATTTAATGTTTTTTTGATTTCTTCCTTGAGATATGAGACTATAAAATCCCTGGTTATGGAAGTTGAAGATGAGAGAGAAGTTATTTTTTTTTAAATAAGAGAGAGAAGTTATTTTTTTTTTAAATAAGAGAGAAGTTAATTTTATCATGCATCATGTGTAAATGGTTATATCTTCTAAATATCAAATAGTTAGAATGTAGGACTTGAATGAGAATAAATTTTCTTTTGAAATAAGAATGAAAATAAAATTAATTTGAAAAAAAGGATGATATACAATAATGCTTTACGGAATTCAGTTTCTCGTGAGGAATTTCAACTGCTAGATTGTAATATTTTTGCTTTAGGAAAGGACTGAACTGTTGCTTGAACACATTTCTGTGCATGACGTTAATTGGTAGGACATTTGCTGAGTCAGTAACATGTGGAGCTATATTTTTTATGTGGGAATTATTCATTATGTCTCAAAGTTTAGAACTTTGTAGTTGTTTTTTGCTGGAAACTGTTTTCTATATTCACTATTTGGTTCATTTATTGTAGTTAATACACTTTATTGCTATAGGGTAGTTTCATACTTATGCTTTTGTTTCAGGCATGCCGCACTGGCGCAAAGACAAAGAAGCTGAAGTTTTACGTCTTGGATATGTATGTTTGAAATTTTTATTTGACATTATTTTTAATCTTTGTTTGAGGTATCCGTCCAAAATGCCAAATGTAAATAGAAACAAGATATAGATGTCACTATCATGAAGCGAATGAAAAATAAAGATAAAAAGGAGAAGAAAAGAAGGGAAATTACTTTATCAAGGGAAATTACTTTATCTATGATGATCTTAGTGAGTGGTGATGCTGCAAAAGATGCTTATGCTCATTCGTTTGCGTCCTCATAAATATCTGTCTGAATTTTTTGTATTCTTTCTCTTGGGCATTTTAAGTGGTAGTCACTGATGAAATTGCAGTCCTTGTGGGTTTATAATCACAAAATGTATACTGTTTTATGCATATATTTCCCTCTTCCCCCAAAATCTCAAGATACATGCATGGTGCATGGCTTTTTAAACGGGGGATAAGGAATTATTATTAAAGAAGAGAAAGATGTAACAAGCTAATGAAGGATAAACTATCATTCAGAAAAAAGGACGAATAAATGCAAAGAATAAGAGCAAAACAGCAAAATTGAAGGAAAAATGGTGTGCTAATACAAATAGCATTCTCCAGTCCCTTTGTATCTAAAATTAAAGAATTCTCCTAGAGAAACCATGTGCTTCAGCTTAAAGAGAGGAGAACACACCATCATATCCCAAGGTTGTTAACCAAATTGGACTTTTCTTTAAAAATTCTTGCATTTTGGTTCTAATGAAAGGACCCATAAACCTGCAAAGATCAAAGCACCATATGATCCTTACTCTAATGAAACTGTATAAAGGGGTAGAAATGAAAATTTTGAGAGCAACTGGACACATTTTGAACCGAAAACATAATCCAGTGCTGTCAATCTGATCCCATAATGCAGAAAATAATTGTTGCATTCTAAGCTATAAAAGCACATTGGACAAAGGTATGGGAATGTGCTTTCAGGGATCTATGAGCCTGAAGAAGGTAATATATTAGTGGTAATCCTGTTTAGAACTATTCTTCAAATGAAAACTTCAACCTTTTAGAGCTTTCACTTTTCAGAAAAAGGAAAACAAAAATGCATTTGATAGGGCTAGGGGTTAAAGAGGACTTACCAGCATATGGTCCAAAGAGTTGAAGATATTCTGTAATCAGGTTAAAATATAATGATTCTTTATCTTTGGGATCTCTAAAACGAAAAAATTCCTAGTTTTGAAGTCACTTAAGAGTAACAATGTTTGTCCCCTCGTCATTTTTCTACTTGCTTTAATTTTTTTTTCGTGAGTTCTGATCCAGAGTATGATTCTTGTTTTTTTTTTTCCATCTTCCGCATTTTCTTCAATGCAGGTTAAACCTGAAATCATCAGCTGGTCACCTCGAATTATCGTGTTGCATAATTTTTTGAGTGTGGAGGTATGCATGCATCTTTACAGTATCATTATATCTAAAAAAGGTAACTTTAGAACGTCATTTACTTTCTCAGGTGATATATGGAGTTATTGGATTCTTGGTGTAGAATGTGTTAGTTGTAGATTTCCTAAGTAGATAAAAATTATAATTCTATTAAATGGAAGACTACTATTTTATTTAAGAGTCTCTTATTTAAGTTATAATAAAGGTAAGATTTTATTGTTATTAGCATTTAGCTTTTCTATTTGTATTAGAATTTCCTCTTTGTATTAGGAATAGTATGTAAGGCCGTTGAAGGTCTATCAGAGGTGCCCACACCCTGCACCAGCGACCTCGTTAGACACTACTGTAGCTGCAGGAGAATTGGTCTCACTATTTAGCTAATTAGGCGCTTAATAAATAAATTTTATATTAGTTAGATTTTTGTCCTTGCTATTATATTGCCTCTGGTAGATTCTGTTTCTGCTTTTTCTGTCATTGCTTTTCTGTTAATTGCCTTTTGTCTTATTCTGTGAAGAAATAAGTAGAAAAGGGGGTGGTGTATGCAATAGGACCTATGGCAAATCATATGAAAAATCTCTAATCAAATTCCTTAATTCTTCATAAGTTCTTTTTTTTTCCAAATTCCTCTCCTCTCTTTCTTCCGTCCTTGCCTTCCCTCCCTCCCACTCTTTTTTCCCCTTCTCTTCCCTACTTCTGTTAATCCTAAAACGTTTCCATCAGACTCCTTGATTGGGTACATGTCTAAGGAGTCTGACAACTTGGTATCAGAGCCCTCTGATACTGAGGAGATTCTCCATCACAATCTATAACGGCACGCACCCAGAAGAAAGGCTGCAATGACGGACCATCAACAGATTCAGATGTTGTAGGAATCCGTGCGTGGGTTTGATCAAAAACTGAAAGACTTCATGACTGAAATGTTGCTTTCATAACTTCTATGTATTTCTTGCTAAGATTTGTCTGTAAAGCTATTTTGATGCAGGATAAGAAGACCCTAGAATTAATATATTTTAATGCTATGGATATCTTGTTAAGATTTATCCATAAAGCTATTTTGTTGCAGGATAAGAAGTCCTGAGCTATTTTTCTGTAATTTAAGTGATTTACATATGAGTAGATATTTTAAGTGTCGGAACTATTAGGATAGGTTTATTACTCTAGTATTTTATTTCTTGCGTAGTTAGAAGTCTTATTAGGTTATTATTTTCCTCTTTAAAACTCTAACCGGATTAGACGATGGAGCAATCTAAAATAACATAGGTGGTTCATCATTACAAAACAAACTACTTGTGATAAAACTATTAATTTCCTCTCATTGAATTTAGTGTCTAACAACCTTGTGAATATGCTTGTGACAACCCTGTGGTTGTGGCTTGGATTTATCTTTTTGATTTTCTTTTAATTTTTCTAAAACCTAATCAGCTCTTCTACGTTTCAATGGCCTCCAGTATTGTTGCTTCCAGTTGTTCTTTTCCAAAACCATTATGGCTATGTTTGCTCCTCCTATTCTATAGTTATGATTTGCACAATACTCTATTACTAGGCGTGGCTATTCCTGACTTGACCTTTCAGAAAATCTTATTGAATAAAACTTTTTTCAATGTAACTGATGTCATACTGTGCCATCCATGGCAAGATCCAATTATTTAGTTATATTCATTAAATTTTAAGTCCATTTTTGTTTAACTATGGTATATATCATTTGAAATTGATCTCTATTTATTGAATTTTAACTAGATTGTTGGTGGAAAGTGAATAAGATGAGTTCATGTTTGTGTACATGGGTGGCGCCCACTTGGCACCGATGCGTCAATGTACTTCACACTTTTATTTAAAAAAAAAAAAAGAGTTCATGTCTGTGGTTGATAATATGATAGAAAGATTCTGGTTTTGGGTATGTTTGGCCTATTTATTTATGTTCTGGATTGGGTTAGACTGTCATACATTGCATATGGATATTTTATTGTCTATTATTAGATTAGTTGCCCCTATTCACACCTCGAAATAGTCACTGATAAATGTTCTTAACCTATATGTTGCCACAGACCTAGAGTGGAGAAAGAAATGTATCAAGTGGAAAATGCTGGAAGTAATTTTTTTTTTAAAAAAAAAAATAGCAGTAACTGAAAGCAGATATATCTGTATTTAATAAATAATTCTGCTTTTAATGCTACATACTTATTACTTACATAAGCAAACCTACATTTGTTGTTCCAAAATAGGAAAAGGTCAGCCTCCATTGTATGAGTTATAGTTCATCAATGGCATTTGACAGTTCCTTTCTCAGGGTGCTTGCACAATATGAACTTTGTTAATTTGACTACTATGAAGTTATGGAACAATGTTGACATTTTTTTTCCTTCAAAATGAGGAATGGTTTTAACTTAATAATGTTGCCTCCTTATTGATATGTAAATAATTTGTACGTAGGTTGGCACCCTCTTGGTGCTTGTGATTCAATGATACATACTCTATACTTTTTATTTAGAAAAAACTTAATAATGTTGCCATGTCTGCAGGAATGTGATTATCTTAGAGCTATAGCCCGCCCTCGGCTCCAAACTTCTACTGTTGTGGATTCAAAAACGGGGAAGGTATAAATGGTTTGGCTTTTGTTTACAGTTAACAGCTTATCATCTTCAGTGAAGTTGTTCATGGCTCTACAGTGTGCCTTAATCCTTCATGTTTGGCTGAAGGCTTATTTCTAGTTATTACTTTTTGAATATTCTAATTCTTTTGGAAAAATTTTAAAGCAATTTTCATCGAAATTCATAACATATGAGAGGCATCAAAATAATCAGAGAAGGAAAGGATTTGCTTTGGAGAAAATATTATTTGTTTGAATATATAAAAGGAAAGTTAGAGAAACATAAGATGAAGAGTTTGAAATTTGTATTAAAATCACGCAAGTTGGTGTAGAAAGAAAAAACAAGAGAGCTTTTGAACTTGTGGAAGATGAGTCTGAGAGAGTTAGAGATAGATGGTTCTAAACCTGTGGCTTTTGGTTATGAGTCATCCTCTTCATTCTATGGAGGATCTTAAGGATGTTATTGATGTCCTGATGGGCATGTAAATAATTTTATACATGAGTTGACGCCCCCTTGATGCTTGTGAATTAATTATACATATCATACTATTTATTCTCGAAAGAACAAAGAAATCACACAAGTTGGATTTCTATCCATGTGGACATCCTTAGTAAAAAACTAATAGTATGTGCACTTAGCTTTTGACTATAAGCATTGTATTACTTTCTTTCGACCTTGTTACAGGTGTAGATGTAAGTTCAGCATTTGAGCTTGCCTAACTTTTACAAAAGAAGAAGCAGAAAACATGAACGCCACGCAGGGGCAATAGGTCGGAAAAAGAAGAAACTTGAATCGGAGGTGGTAGAAAAGGACAAATTGCGCCTCAGTCCATCATTGTGGTTCCCCATTCAAAGTTGACCAATTGTGAAGAAAGAGAGGACGAACAGGGGAAAGTGTACCCTGCCCTTGAACCAGATACAGAAACCGAGATAGAGCAGCCAATAGGCAAAAAAGAAAAATTTAGATTGGCAGATTCTCCAGAGGAGAAGAAGAGGTGGAAGAAGAAGATTATGAAGGGGTATTGGAGGATGATGTAGATTCTATCTCATCTGTCTCTTCATTTGATTTTCTAGAGGTAGAGGATATTGAAATCTCTAAAGGGGATTTTTTGAAATAACAAAGGCAGAGGTTGTGAGGGAAAAGGGAGACCATGTGGTAGATATAGCAGAAAATTTTGGCAAGTTATTTGATAGACATGTCAATGAGAAAAGCTTGACATGGCTATGTATGATCAATAGATTGGAGGTGCAGAAGCCGGGAGAGATATGCAGGCACAAGAATTTCATTCATCGGAGAAGGAATCTAATTTATACAAGAATAGCCTTGAGAAGTTATTGGGAGTAGTATTGACCCTTAGCCCTTGTGTTGTAAAATCCTTGGCAGGTGTGCAATCTGAAATGGACATTTCAGAAGGCTTGCGGGTTGGGAAGGATACCCAAGGCAATGGCATCCTCCATATTCGATGTGATTCTCATGAGTATC